GGTAGCTGACCTCCACTTTTTTTGAATGATTTTGGTATTTCATTGAAAAAAAAAAGGCATTCATAATATATGGAGGTTTTCTCATTTTGAGAATTGTTTTGGGCATAGGAAAGTTGCAATGAAAACCTAATTTAAAGAAATAATAGCATCTCTGGTTATTTTTAACAGGATTTCTAAATTCATTCTTTTTTTCCCCTCAGAGAGTAAAACAAATAAAAATTCTTGTCATTTGTTGCATAAAAGATTCCTCTGAAGCGCTGTAACAATTTGGATAAACAGCCAGATCTGTCCTTGGGGTTCTCTTCTTGCTGACAGTTCTCTTTGCAATTCCTAGTAAAAAATACTGCCATCTTTCCTTAGCAATTCCAGGTTGTGTTAAAGCAGTGTAGTAATGCAGTGTCTGCATATGTGTTCTCACCCCTGCACCTCTCACACCCGTATTCCAGGCGGTCTGGAATGAAAGAAATCCAGGGAGGAACTCCCCAAATGCTGCTTTGCAAAAGAAGAGCCTTCACATATTCAGCCTAAACAAGGTTTTCCGTGACAGAGCGCGGTGTGGTGTTTATGGATGTCTGTTTAGCAGTTTCTCTTCCTCCCAAACCTTCACCATGTACCAACAGGTAGAGGCCCAAACTTCCTCACAGTTCATGGGGAAATTCCCTGTGCTGATACCAGGTGACTGATGTAAACAGTCTCTGTTCTGAGACTCCCTTTCCAGCAGTTTCCTTCCTTACATGAGCTTTAAAATTTCCACGGGAGCCCAGTTGTAGTTTCAAACATACAGAATGTGACTGGCAGAACCCCTTAGTCTTTTTTCTTCTCTTTTCCCCTCAAAAAGGTGTGATGACTAGTAAATTTGTTAAAAGGAAAGGGCCATCGGGGCCTAAGTGGAGGTAATGCTCCACATGGGTGAATTTATTCTATTCCACTTCTTTTGCTTACCCTTGAACACAGGGAAAGCTGTTCCTTGTGTTTCCAGCAGAATCTCTGCACAGTTTTTAACGAATGGCAGTACCAGCCAGGGCCACTAATTCTTTTCTGTAGAGGCCCAGAAACCTCTTCAGTTCTAGATTCATTTATTAACTCCTGTGGCAAACTAAAAAGCTCTCACTGTTTTCAGAAACTGAATTTGGATCAACTCAAAACTTCCTTTCCGTTATAATTGATCCTGACATAGTCATTAAACCTGTTATTGTTTTATCTTTACCTTAATAGTCTCTTAGTATCTGAACATTCTTATGGCTCTTTTCTCTCATTAGCCGTTTATTTTCCATAAATTTTGTCCGGTCGCCAAGTTATTCTTTTAGTCCACGAATATAACTTCTTACTAGAAAAACTCTGCCTTCCCCCACACACACTTTTCGGTTTGCACACCTGTTTGCCTTGCGTCACGTTTTGAGCATCACAACGAGCTGCCAAATTTGCTCTCCCTTCTCTCCTGGTGCAACTAATCATTTCCAAAAATTATTTCATGCTTAAAATATTTGAAAACTAGGAAATGACTGAGATTTCTTCCACATGCCTGGGTTGTTTGTTTTTATTTAACAGTGCGTGTGTGAGCGAAACGATTCACGTGGTGCCACTTCCTCGGAGTGTTGTAGTATCCAATGGCTCTCCACCATGCAAGGCATCTTGTGCAGGGCTAAACCCCAGCCCAGGTTTTATCAGCCACATCCTTACCTTCAGTGGCACAGGCTGGAGAAACTGGAAGAGGATAAAGGAAAAGGGAGGAACTTGTCTGCTTTATGAAGAAAAGCCCTCCCTTTGCACTTTTTTTAACATTTCTTGCCTCCTCACCTTTGCCAAATATGGTCTCCGAGCCCATGGCTGTGTTTGGAAAAACAGGGAGAGGTCATGCTGAAAGGGTTTGGGTCTGCCAGGAAAGAGGATTACAAGGGCAAGGCTGATGATGTCCAATATTTACTTCTGCCTGTGTTCTACAACTTTGCACCCATAAAATAGAGGAAAATGTGACCTGTGGTAATTAGGCAGCGCTAGTTGGATCTTTCCTAGCTGGATCTTTTCTCCTGTCACTCGCTCTCCTTTTTATCGAGCCGTTTTCTGAGAGGTCTTTATTGCTTAGGGAGGGCACTGTGGCTGGCACTGATCGTGGAGATTCAAACGCAGATTCTGCAATGTGCTGTTACCTCACATCCCTCTGTATTGTGAAACGACAGCTGGGGACCCGTTCCTAACCCGTCGGTAATTTGGTGGTGATGCCGAAGAGGCACGATTTCCACCTCTGCCATAAACCCTGTGCGTGTTTTACTTGCCTCACACGAGCAGTGGGCTACTTGTGCTAGGAATTTTGAGTGGGGACGCCAGCATGTGCGGGATGAGGGCCACAGTCAGCGTGGGGTAAAGCAGATCGTGCAGAACACAGCTCGGGTTTCATTGCGCTCCCAGGTACCTCGAGGAGCCAGCAGGGAGAAGGTGTTTCCAAATGCCTGGAGGCAGCACTCGCACACTGTGAAAATCCTGATTACACTGACAGACTCACCCCGGGGTTACATCTGTACCGAATTACAGGAACTCGCTACATTTCTGCAGATCAGAAATGTGTTTTCTGACGGCAGCACTGTTTCTGCTTCCCTCTTCTGTGGATGGGACACCAAAGAGGTTGCTTTGGTGGATTATATTCTGTATGAGCTGCAGTGGGTTTCTGTAAGAATTCCTACAGAATTGCTTGTGTAGCATTTACAGCCTGTGTTAATGATGACTATAAAGTTGTTTGTCTTCGTGGAATTAGATACATCCATAAGGCATTTTCCAGCTCAACCGTGCTGAGGCAATAAAGCAAATTCTGCTGGCATTACTCACCGCAGTAATTCCCAAATAATTAGTCAGAGTAGGTAATGGATGTGTGATTCGTCCCAGTCATAAACCAGGGTAAGGACATAAAACACGGCGGCTGCTTCGGAAATGCAACACCAGAAACCAAACCGCTCAAGTTCAGCTCGGAGCCAGCTCAAATCCTGTCCTCAAAGCCTCTTGTGTTGCTTTTCTTCCCTCCTAGCGTAAGGAAAAATCTAGTTGGTTTCTTAGACCTCGCTTAAGTCCTAGTTTTTCACTCCAAGTTACTTATTGGTTGCTAAGGAGCAGTGATTTATATGCATGCTTGTTTTGTTTTCCCTCCCTTTACAGAGGGAAATATCGATGCTTAAAAGCAGGAATATGGGTGGGGTTCCCCCCCACACACACACCTCCCATTTTACCTTCTGGCTGCCGCTCTTCCGTCCTGGCATTAAAAACTTCCCAGGGTGTAGTTCAGCTTGTGAAGCGTTGTACATAATGCTCGCAGTGTTTGGGGAATGTTACACGCGGAGGAAATTTACTGTCGGAAAATAAATCATCCTGAACCGATTCCAGAAGCATTCAGCGAGGGTGAGTGTGCTCGTGCTTGGGTTTTGCCTGCGTGGATTTGGATTTCGTATCCACAAACCGGTGCTCTATTGCCATAGAAACGGCAATATTCACACACATCCTAAAATCGGTTCAGTACATGATATGACAGCAATTTGCATCGGAGCTCCGTTGTGTTTGCTTCCTGGAGAGTTTCTAAAGCACATAAATGTGTCCTTGAGGAAATCACCACCGTCGTCGGTGCAACAACAAAGAAAGGAGGCAGATTGCTCGAGGCAACAGTGTGTCATGCAGCGATTTCCAACGGGCTAATCATATTAACAGAGAAAACGCTGGTGCCAGTTTTACTTTAACTAGTAAAGTTTTATTGAGTGCTACTGTCCCTAGCTGCTGCCCTTAACTTCATGTGATTGCTAAACCATCTACAGTTTGGAACTGCTTTTACAGTTCACCCTTCTTACAGGGGAACAGCTGGCAAAAAGAAAAATCATTTAAATGCCAACACTTAAAATGCAAAAAAAGTGGAAAGAAGATCATAAATATAAAATCAAAATATTGGTTTTCTTAAATCCGTGGTAATGACCTTACTGGGTTCTCCAAAAGGCAAAATAATCTGGATCTCTGAGGCTCCCCTGAGTGTTATGAAAGTCGGTGGAATAACCTCAGTCTCTCTGAAATCCCACTGGGAAAATCATCCTTCTAGTTGATCCTGTTCTAGAGCCAATGATCAACTGGGCTGGAGGGAGGTCCCTCCAAAACAGCCATCCTTTTCCTGCTTTTCCTGTGCATCGGGACAGAACTATTCCCAAGGTGTAACTGGCTGCAACCCAGCTACACAAGGTGGGAGAAAACATTTGGGGATCTCAGTTTTACTCTCTTGCCAGACAAAACTGCCAAAGGTCCCTTCCAGCCCAAAGCCCAGCACTGCATGTCCCTGCTATGCTGCTTTCCAGGCCAGAGCTTTTTTGGATTGAATCTTAGTTGTGTTTGTTAGGCAAATTACAGAGTGCCAGGAGCATAATTGGTGACTAATGTCTCTTTGCAAGCTAATATGTGGGGTCCTGTCACTTGTAGTTAAAAAGTGACCTCACAGAGAGCTGAATCCATTTCAGCGTTTGGAGCTGCCCCAGGGTCCATTTTCTGGTGCATCCCTAAGCAGACAGCTCTCTGTGTGAGATATATTGGAATTCTGGCTGGTCTGTGGCAACCACCAGGTGAAGAGAAAGTGCTGTAGTTTGGAAATCACTGGAGTTACACATGCAAACCCTCAGCAACCGTATTTAAAGTGATATAAGAGTCTCCACCGACCGTACATTACTTGTTTCTGTGAGTTAGATCCAACCTCGCACACTTAAATCTTTCTCCCCCCGAAATTTTACCCGGGGGACTCTTTCCCTCACAATTATGCTGTACATTGGAAACAGTAGATCAGGATCAAGGCCACAGATCAAAGTCTGATCAGCACAATACCTTCCTCTGGAGGCTTAATGCATCCACAGTATTAGTCATCACACGTGGAAAGGAACCAAGTTTCCTGTTCCATGCCTCCGAGCATATCCAAGTTACCGTATCCCTGGAATGACGACCATGGGATATTTGTCCAGTGTATTTGAAGTGAGCCATCTAGGAACAGAACCGAGGATTTGCTATTCATTGTTAATAACTGTGAGAGCTGTGCTCTAACCAAAGGTTAGTCTGCTTTGCTGTACACCAAAAAATGGAAATTAATGTCTTCGTCACTCTGGCTGAACCCAGACAAGAGAGAATCAGGAGCTGGTTGCAAGCAGGGCGGCTCTGGAAGAGACCTCCTAGGTTTTTGGCTCTGGGTTTCTGACTCAGCAGGGAATTGCCTCCTCAAGTCCCGTTGCTCCAGTTGCCAAGCCCATCTTTAATCAGCGACAGCCTGTGCTTTCAGCAAACATAGGCCCCTTTGATTTTCAGAAAGCAACTTGTGTGGTTTGCCTCTACACAGACCCTGATTTTTACAGATGAGCTCAAGCATCCAAATAGTAACTGTAAGAACTACTTGTGACCCATTCATTCTGCTAGTAAAATCAAAATACATTAATTATGTTCAATTAATCCAGGTTTAGAGTTTACCTTGTTTAACCCAGTCACATGTCACTTAAGGAATTACAGTGTTTCTGCTTCTTCCATGATTGTTCTAAACCTGATATTTTCCCTCTCTGTAAAACAGGTATGTCCATTTTTATCATTAATGGTGGCTATCCTAGTTGGATTTTGCCTCTAAATGTTTCGATTAGAAAACTCCCCAGAGAGGAATACAAACAGAGAGTGAAACACAGCTAAATACATGTAATACAGCAGCTGGGCTGCTGGCTTTAACAATTTTATCACCATCTGAAAATTTACTTATGGGCTCAAACCTGCGTGTGAGAGACAAACAGAACATGACTTGAGGTTATTTGTGGCAAATATGTGGTTGTGTTCTTACTCTTTTTTTTCTTAAAACACTGGAAATGCAATGCATTAAAGCCTCAAAATTCAGAAGAGATGTAGGATCCACATGTATTAAACAAAAATATTCTCTAAAAATCCCATGAAAATTAGGTGCCTGACCCGTGACCTTAAGGCATAGAGCTTTGGCAATATTATAATGTCCATAAATACATTTATAATTGTTTACTTTAGAGACAATATTAGAAGGAATTTTCCATGATGACAGAAAGAGCTTGTATTTTAATCTGTTTTCCAAAATCCAAAAGATGGATACAGCTTTAATAGAATTATAAATAGTCATTGCTGCACGTCAGAAAAAAGGGCAACATATTCCTTCTCAGTTCTTGTATTTCACACAGTTCTATTGCACAAAATACAGTTTAGGTTTTTCATTTATGACAACTGCAGTAGAGGAAGTTTAGACCTTACGTGCTGCTACTGTGTCCAAAATCCTGAGGGTTTATGGTAGCAGGAGTTCCTGCCCATACAGTGTGAGTGAAAGGACCTGTGGGATAAAGAGCATCCAAAATTAACAGAAACAGCTATTGTTTTAGCCATCTTATGTACATGTGTAAAAAGTGTGTGTATATGTATATATACAAACACTGACCTACCAGCAGCTGCAAATTATTTCAGCTTTAAGGGCAGATTTTGCCAAATCCACACAGTTAAAGTCCACTCCCAGGGAAGAAACATAACTTATAGATCAAATAACTCAAGGCTGATTCTGAAATGTCTGACACCCAGTTGAGGGAATGAGTTTCTCAAGGCTTTTTCCTCTTTTATTTTTTCACTGCTGCATGTGGTGATAGTTTGTATTTCACAGCATTTATAAGGCCTATCGCTGGGGAACGGAGAAAACTGAAGTAGTGAAATTCCCTTTAAGTCAGGGCAATTATTTTAGCAACTGCAGAATCACGATGCAACGGTGGCTTGTGTCGTTCCAAGGGCTTCATCCGTAGCTCACCAGAGCTCCATGGCTGCATGTCCCCGGTCTCGCTTTGAGCTTTCTCTGGGCTAATCAACCATTCCTCAGTCAAAACGGGTTGCTCCTGTCTGTAGGCACTGTGTACCGCTGTGTCTGTCGGTGCACACTGCAGAGTTAGGTGTTTGTTCCTGGACTGGCTTTGGGGAGGTAGCTGGAGTTTATTGGCACGCCTACACCTGCTTGCACAGGGTATTCTCACAGCCTTCCTGCACCAACCTGGATGTTTGCTGTGAACTCGGAGGAAACAGCAAAGAAATAGGAGCAGCCTGTTCTCTCCTGAGCGCTCGCAAGAGAAAAGGAAACGGCTCTCTAGGAGCACACACACACCTCTAACAACGCGTCCTTTGAACGCTCTGCCCGTGCCTTTCCCTGCCCTGGGATAGGGATTCGCTTCCCTACGCAACGTGCAGCGCCGCAAAACTCATTAGGCAGCATAAAAGTATTACTGTTCCGTGTCTAAAGAGATTTGTCCCTGGTGGGGCTGAGCTTAATGATACTGTCAGTAGTCCAGAGCTGGCAGAGAAGGACCCGCGCGGGTAATTCATCCCGAACGGGAAGGCGAGGAGACAGGAGGCTTTCATTTCGTCGTGGGGAGGGAAACGTGAACCCACCTGGGAGGGCAGCTTGGGTTTATTGCGGGGCTGTGTCTGTCTAAAGTCCTCCTGCAGGAGCTGAGTCTGCTTGGGAAGGGGACGGAGGAGTGAGGAATGAGGAGAACAGACGGGTGCTGAGGTGACAGAGCAGGATAAGGGAGCGTGTTGAGGAACCTCAACTTTGTTGTTATGGTAAAGCAAAGCTTTCCTTTGCTGATCTGCCCCGGAAAGGTTTCGAGTTTCCTTTTTCTCCCCCCCGCAGTGTTTGGTTACTGGTGGAGATGTTTCACGAGGTTTGTGTGTAATTGAAAAGACAGCCCGATGCGAGCCATTGAACATGCCTGACAGGAATTCGGAAGGGGCAATCAGTGCGGCTTCATCCGCCAGCCCGGGACGGTGCTGGGGCTCTTAATCCAAGCAGTGATGTGTGTGATATCACCAGAGCAGAACGCTGGAAAGGGCTCTCGCAAAATTCTTCATTCCTTACGTTTTCAGTTTGGGCAAGCAGGGGATGGTATGTTTTCCCAAATCCTGGCAGTCCTCCAGGGCCAGCTGAAATCCTGTCTGATGAGCAGAGCTGCCGACTTTGAGAATGCCCACAAATTCCCAAGGGAACCTAGAGAAACCCTCTACCTGCGGAATTTCGGCTCATTGTTATTGCTTGCACTGTAACAGTGCCCTCAGGCTCTAATTTGCGTGGCATTACTCCTGCAGAGGATTTGGGCTGGGGCTTATTGCCCTCTGCAGAATCGAGAGGTTATGCTTTATGCTTTTTAATTACTAATTGAACTTAATCAGCAGTTTTTGATCGTCTTAGTGTTCAGAACGTGCTGCTGCCTACAGTTTTTACAACTCTGTGTGGTTCCACTGAATTCCATTTGGCCAGCTTTTGCAGTATAATTTGATAAATGTGGGGTTTTTTTCTTCCTTACCTTTTGGTTCCTTAGCAACAGTTATTTTTTACCAAATTAGTTATCCCTTTACCTGGTGCTCTATGACACAAAATATGCACTGAACACTGTGTGTTTGAACACTGTAGGTGATTTTAGTGTATTAAGGGTTTGTGTTTTTTTTAAAGCATGTAGAAGTGGTTAAATGTCATTGATCTGTATAGCTGCTCTATTAATGTTGGAAAAATTGGTGATTTCATCCCAGAAAAAAAAAAAAAAAGGCACATGCAACCATTGCCCACACAAAGCAATAGACTTGGCAAGACAAGGCGAGAGAAAAGGTTTATAAGACAGTAAATCCTGTCCATCGAGGAGTCCCCTTCCATTGGGCTGTAAATTGGGGGCTCACAAGTCAGTGTCTGCACAGCAGCTTTAATGAGGTTTATCTGTAGATGAAGGGGTCATTTCAACTGAAGGCCTTTCTAAAGAGCAATAGGGCCTAATTCATAAAAATGGGAATAATAAAGTGAGGACACTCATCCCCCCCAAACAAAATCCATTTGCATGTTCATGATAAATACCATTTCTTTGGAAATGTGCTGTGTTCACATATGCTTAGATAGTTTACCAAGCTTTCATGAAGTACTGTTTGATTTCAGTATCAAAAAGAGGTTTATAGCACATGTCTCCTTTAAAGCCTTGTGGGATGTTTTTATTGGGTTTTTTTCCCCCCACTTTTATCATATTCTACCTCTTAATGTGTGTTTTGGTTACGTGCATCAGCAGAGAGTTTAGAAACGGGTGAGGAATACCAGTAGTTGCCTCATGGACTGGACAGTATCAAGTTCAGACTAGAAATAAAATACAGAACTTTCAGTGATAGTGGTTAACAACTGGAATAGTGAATCAAGCTCTATAATCATAACTTTTAAATGCAATCTGTGTTCGTTTCTAAAACCCTTGCTCAGATATTCACAAGAGCATTCATTCAGGGAATTTCTGTATTCCCTGGGACATGAACTGCTCTGTAGATGATCGTGGTGGGCTCTTCCAGCTTTAAAATCTGTTACAAAATCTAATTCTTACTGTCTTGACTAAGTGCTGCTGTCACTGCTTCGAAAATCTCATTATTAAACTCACTCACAGTAAAAAAAGCAAATGAAGGTTCTTGCAGCATGGACTTGCAAAAATAAAACGTGCTGGTTCTCTTGTGCTATCAAATAAATAGTGTAATGATATCTGTGCATGTTAGCAATATAGCAAGGGGAAATGTGTCCTGAAATGCTTTTAAGTTTTCTTTTAATACACTTTTAATACACTTTTTAACAGTGCATCAGCTAAATTGGTGTAAGAGCAAAAAATAGGAACAGGCTTCATAGAAAACCGTGTAATTTCCCTTTCAGTTATTGATTGTGACACAATAAACTCAGGAAATCCCCAACCTGCTGGTTGCTGGAAGGGACCCATTTCCCAGACAAGAGGCATTTGTTCCGGCTGCAGGCAGATAAGGAATACTCCGGATCAGGCTTTATTGCTTTTTCCAGTGCGTGCAGGAGGAATGCAGTCGGTGTTGCTCTGATTTGACTGGTTGGTTCTGCTGTTGAGCTCAGTCCCCCTGTTTGGTTTGTGTGGAGATGACATTTATGATCCATTACCTAACGCTTTGCTGCAGCGAGGACATTCTAGCACTTCATAATTCTGAGCTAGAAATGAGCTCAACGAAATGGCCCAGGCAAAGGTGAAGGAGGGAGGTGTTGGGGTAGGTATAGGGTTGTTGTTTTTTTTGTGGAGAGAGAGACTCAGTGTTTGGGATTTGTTCCTGTGGGGTTTGTTTGTTTTGGTTTCTTTTGTTTTTTAATCAATCATGATACAGTATAATTAAAACTTATTACCAAAGTAACCTCTGATGTTGCCATTGCAATCTGTAAAGTTCTATTAGCATGACCTGAAGCTTGTGTTTGGTGTAGCAGTGAGTCATCTAAATGCCATTTCTAGTATTTAACAACTATTTAAAACATCCTGAGCCTTACAAGCTCTTCATTAGCATTCTTCCTTCTGCAACCCATGCACCATTCCCAGATTAAAAAGCATCCCTCCCCTTAAAGCTCCTTTGGAAAGGGACAGCCTTGTGTCAGCTGTGCACCCGTAACCTTGACATCAAATACTTCACGAGGCCAAAAAGAAATACTTGGAGTTATATTTTGCTGCACTTAGACCCTTTTGACCAATCTGTATTTTCAGCTTTACTGTTGTAAAGTTCCATACTGCTGTATGGAAAAAAGCATGTCCTGTTGTGTGAAAGCCAGGCAGTTGGTAAAACACTTGCAGCAGGCCATGTTACATCCCTCATAACCCAGGAAAGTTTTGTTCTGGACCAAGAGAAAGACTTCTCTTCCACTGCAAGGCTTTAGTGATTCTGAAAAGGTAATAAATTTTCCACCCTGTTTTAAGCTTTCTAGATTTATGTTGCATTATAAGCTCGTGCCTTTCCCCAGTTCTCTTGCTCTGGCCTTAACTGCACTAATATGAAGACAAGTTTTAAACAAGGTGACCTTGTTTGTAAAAACCTTTGATTTAGGAACAAATGAAACTGTTCCTTCTGTACGATTTGTGGCAATGCCGGAGACTGTAGCTGAGAAAGAGATTTAAACAATAACATGCCAAAGCTTCAAAGCTGATGGCCGTGGCAGCCTCAAAGCGCGTGCTGTAAACTCTTCAGATTATTTTGCTCTTCAGAAAGTCAGTAAAGCCAGAAGAATGTGCACACCCCTCCCTCGGTGCCAGCCAGGGAACGGTGACCCGTGTTCAGAGAGCTGCTCTGGTGGGAGGTGTCCCTGCCCAACCCAGCAGGGGGTTGGAACTGGGTGATCTTTAAGGACCCTTCCAACCCCAAGCGGTCTGTGATTTTTATGACTTGCCCCAGCATCTGCTGCTAAAATGTCCCCTTTCCTTAGGGAAGCACATCCCGTTGCTGTTTCCAGAAGCAGTTATTTCAGTAGGACATTTAAGGGCTTGCTTCTGTTTCGTTTGGGGCATAAACCTCGTGTAACTGGGAAATGGGAGCCTCCTCAGGAAGGCAACCTTAAGCTGTTGCTGTTTCAGTCGTCACAGGGACTGACCTGAGAGGGATATCTGAGGTCACGTCCCAGATTTCCAGAGCGACTTCATCGGC